TATCTGAATGATCTGCATCTGCCTCGGGGTCTCTAGCCAAATCCTTGACGAATTTGGACGTGGGCTTTACACCCTATCCTTTTGGGTCAGGCGATTCAACCTTCAGCGGAGGGCCATGGCCACTGTTGTTTCAATTCTTCCTGGACCTTCGTTCTCCTGAAAAGAGAAACCCTAGCAGGTTTTTGACATAAAAAACACCGGAAAATTCAAACCTCCTACAATACAACAGTTTCAACGCTCGCACCCCTTGACAGGTTGAAGCAAGTTCTGCAGGGGGTCATCGACTTAATGCAGCCGGCAAGCGTCTCAAGACATGCAACGGAGAAAAAAATAACCGCAACACGCCGCCAAATGTCCGCGCAAAACTCGCAAACTCCCTCACTTCAGAAGGAAGTCGTAGTTTTGACGAGCAAGGCGCCCTATGGGGTTCACAACCCCATTGGCAAGCGCTGCGAGGTGTATTCATTTTACATAACCAATACGCAACTGGAAACGACGCAATCCGGTATTTGTGCAAACCAGAGACGTTGCTAAACCACTGGAGTTCGGTAAATCGTAGGGGTCTCCTAAAACACCCAGAAAACAAAACGGAGGCGGTGCGTAGATGAAGCTCAGAAGGACGGCTCATTGCCATTGCGATTTTTTACTGGTGTTGTGTAGGCTTGTGTATTGCAATGCCAGGTTTTGATTGTGACTCATGTCTTGCACAGGAAGGCTCTTGAAGGCCCCCACGTGCGCGCAGGCCTTGCCATCACACTGGGCCGCTTGCAACGCATTCTTGCCGGCTGAGCTTTTGGTTCTCGCGCTTTCACCCAAGCCGAGGAAGCCGGCCCTTCTCGCTCAACCCTTCCATCACCCGGGGCGCGGCCGAGCATCGCACTCCGCCTTTGTGAGAAGACAGCAGACGCCGGCCGAATCCTTGAAGGAAACAAAGTCCCCAGCTTTCACAACCAGCCTCCAGGCTTTTAAAAGTTCAGGGCTTCCTCGGCTGGTTGAGAAAGCTGGGGACTTTGTTTCCTTCAAGGATTCGGCCGGCGTCTGCTGTCTTCTCACAAAGGCGGAGTGCGATGCTCGGCCGCGCCCCGGGTGATGGAAGGGTTGAGCGAGAAGGGCCGGCTTCCTCGGCTTGGGTGAAAGCGCGAGAACCAAAAGCTCAGCCGGCAAGAATGCGTTGCAAGCGGCCCAGTGTGATGGCAAGGCCTGCGCGCACGTGGGGGCCTTCAAGAGCCTTCCTGTGCAAGACATGAGTCACAATCAAAACCTGGCATTGCAATACACAAGCCTACACAACACCAGTAAAAAATCGCAATGGCAATGAGCCGTCCTTCTGAGCTTCATCTACGCACCGCCTCCGTTTTGTTTTCTGGGTGTTTTAGGAGACCCCTACGATTTACCGAACTCCAGTGGTTTAGCAACGTCTCTGGTTTGCACAAATACCGGATTGCGTCGTTTCCAGTTGCGTATTGGTTATGTAAAATGAATATATTTGAATATAGTTTAAAAATTGTTTCTCTCGTCCCCCTGCTTTTTTCTGATTAGTTAGGTCTACTTTCCAGGCATTCGAAAAACATGTTCAATATTCTAGTTAACTAGAACAGCTAGCAGAATTAGGACAATGTTTTCCTGGAAATCTAGTTATTCAAAGGAAATGGCAAAAGTGTAACAACACCGAATATGCTTTCCCACAAAACATGTTATAATGGTTTCCTTGTTGTTCTAATTAGTCTAATTACCTGGTGGGAAATTGCAAGTGCAGAAAACCTTGAAATAACTAGAATACATTTGGAAATCCACAGCAAACATGTTAAAATTGTTTCGTGAGCTTCCTGAAGCAAAAATAATTCTTTGGGTGTGAAACTGGTGCAAAAAGCAAATCTTTAGAATCAATTGGAAATCCACAACAAACAGTTTGAAATGTGTCCTGGGTTTCCAAAATACTCTAATGTTCGAAAAACACAAACTAATTAGAATAATTCGGAACCCCAAAACATTTAAAACATCTTTTCCTGGGATAATTTGGTGCCTACATTTCAGATGGTTGGAAATCACTTTCCCAAATTAGTATGATTATTTTGATTATTATTTTTCTGCTGAGGATTCTAGCTAATTAAAATAGTTATCAGAATAAGGAAAATATGTTCCTGGCTTTCGCAAGTATTCTAATTAATTGGGAAGGAAGTTGCCAAAGTGCAACTCACAGCACTTGGCACTGCGCCAGTGAGCCCCATAGGACGCCTTGCTCGTCAAAACTACATTTTTTTCTGATTTGAAGGAGTTTGCGAGTCTTTTTGCGGAAATTTGCCGGCGTGTTGCAGTCAAGAATGGGGGGTACTTTTTGGGAGCTTCAGGAGTTTCAGGTGTTTGCGGCAAAAAATGCTACGATTTCCTGAGCATCAGGAGAACGAAGGTCTATCCTAATGAGGGGCTGGTAGGCCATTTTCTCTGAACCATGCGCCTCCGGCTCCGCATCGACAAACAGCAGATGGTTCAGGGCCGCACCCTGGGCCACACAGAGTTGTGTCAATCTGGTGATAATTTGGACGCCCGCAGATTGACACGGAACCTGTTAAAACCAGCATTTTGAGATAAGCATGCCATTTGGGGAACCAACTTTTGGGTTTTCTTCTATTCGTTGCAAGGCAGTGTCCGGCCCACTATAGGTATGTCAGCCCTCAAGTTCCCAACTTGTTGGGTCGTGCCCTGAACTCCTTTCCCGCACTCGAATCTTGAGAAGACTGTGTCGAAAGGAGCTTGGCCCTTTCCCAACGCAGCTTGGTGCTGCGGGATGGTCAGTTTGAGGGCATTCCTTCTCTGCCTACTATAAAGAAATAATAAAAATATTTCAGGTCTTCACGAGGCTCTTAATACTTCATCTTCAGGCACCTCAAGCTCCCGCTTTTGATTCCTGTTGGGGAAACCATCTATAGTGACGCACAAACAAATAGAAACGGTTTTGGAAATTTTCATTTGTCAGCAGCTACTTGTTTCGCTTCTAAGCGCTGTCCCCAGCAGGCACGTTTCGCTTCTAAGTGTTGATCCTGACTGATACGGCCCAATGCAAAACTTCGAGACTTTTTGCAACACTTAGATTTTTTCAAAACTTAGAAACGTTTTGCAGCAGTAGCCCAACGGCTCTTGACTCCAAGATGCGAAACGTTCATGTTTTTTATGCCTTGTTCGATGTCTATCTGAGCTTGGGTCAGCCTTCGCACGCATCCACACATATACGTATATATGTATATCTATATACACGCATATACTCCTGACAGGCCATATTCTTCCCATCATATATATATATATATATATCTATATATTTTTTCTCTTCTGCTCCTCTTCTCGGGCGTTTCTAAATTCGTGCGCAGAGGTAGGTATCGATCAGCCATAGACAAGTCCAATTGGTAGAATCAGGGGGGGTGTTTCTAAGTGTCCACCGCCCAGCTAATTTCAAGCTCGGGCAACCCCAAGAAAACACCGATGCCGAGGATGACATTCTATATGTGCAAATAGATCATGCCTTGCTCACACGTATATTGACATACATGTAGTATCGGTCATGTGTACTCACAGGCAAGTCCAATTGGTAGAAGCTGGGGGGGGTTCTACGTGCTCACCCCAAGTTCAAGAAAACACCGATGCAAGTCAATATCGATACTTAGATATGTGAAAATGGATCATGCCTTGCTCACACACGCGCTGACACAAATCTAGTAGTGGTCATGTATACAAGCAGACAAGTCCGAGTGGTACAATCGTCTCTCCTTGTACTGAAAAGTTGCGACTTTCGAGCCGGAGCTGCCAAAGTGTATTTCCTTCAAAATGTCTTTCTGTACGACACTTGTGCTGCAAAGTTGCAACTTTCGAGCCGGAGCTGCCAAAGTGTACTTTTGTTACTACACTTGTACAAAAGTTGCAACTCCCGAGCCGGAGCTGCCCGGGGATCGGCGTGGTCGAGGTTCAAAAACTCAAGGTTTTTACGATTTCTGCGGTTCCCGCACGGCCCTCTGCGGGGATGGGCGTGGTCGAGGTGCAAAGCGGTTGAGGTTCAAAAACTCAAGGTTTTTACGATTTCTGCGGTTCCCGCGCGGCCCTCTGCGGGGATCGGCGTGGTCGAGGTTCAAAAACTCAAGGTTTTTACGATTTCTGCGGTTCCCGCGCCGAAGTGAACGTGCTTTACTACACTTGTACTGAAAAGTTGCGACTTTCACGTGACGGGGTCAAACGCACAAAAACCGTCAAAACGATACGGTTGCAAAAAACGATAACCTAAAACTTTACATCATAGAAGCTTATACTCCCCGCAATACCCCCCCACCCCCAAAATGGCTAAGGTTTTGGAAATTTCAGGAAATAGAATAGGCCATGAGTGGGCCGTATGTAAGGGTTATTTTGGAAGGTTGACCGTTGGCCCTTAACTAAGGTTTATTTGTGGCGTGTTTTTGGTGACTGAAAATCAGCCTTGTTTAAATGTTATTTGCCTCGATGATGCTTTGTCAAGGGATCTTGCTGCAATGTGGCCTGGGAGTGCTCAAATAAGCCTTATTTAAAGTTATGCTTGATATCGGGGTCTGGTGTTGGGGGGTGGGGTTGGACCCCCCCATTTGTGCAGAAAATGGAGGTCCTAACCCCATTTTTCATTAGAAAACGGCGGGCCGACCCCATCTTCATAAAACATGTTCAATTTAGAAAAAGGGGGGCCAACCTCTCCGACGTGGCGCTGGGCCAACCCCCAATAAAAGAAAATGGGGGGGGCCCAACCCCACCATCAAAAAACGAAAGCGGCCGCGTCGTGAAAAAATGGGGAGGTCAACCTCCATTACTGTCAGCATCATTTCTGTTATAGCGCGTGGCTCCCTTACAAGGTAAACTTTCAGTGAGATACGAAATAAACCCCTCTAAGCTCAAAAGAGTTGAACATTGGGTTGAACATTGTTTCGCGGGGCTCAGAAAAAAACACCGGGCGGTTACTTACGGAGTCCCAAGATTTCCTCTTCAAGCATCACACCCCCTTAAGGAACCCTAGGGCTTTTCTTTCTGGCTTCTCTTGCAACCAAATAGCTGCGCGGATATGCGAATTTTAGAAGATGGGGCCTTCCAACTCGGTCTATTTTAGAAAATGGGGTCAACCAATCCAGACTGAGAAATTTCTAATTTCAGAAAATGGGGGGGCCATCCTAGAACCCTTCCTGACCAGACCCATTTTCTTTTATTCACCATTTAGAAAATGGGGGGCGCCAACCCCGCCATGGGAGGTGACATCCTTAGAAAACAAAGCCCAAAATGGGCTCAACCCCCCCATTTTCTAAACCCGGATGCTTGATGAAACTGAGTCGGCTTCTTGCGATTGTTTGGTAGGGTTCAAAAATCTGGACAAAGGGTATGGTAGCTTGCCCGCCAGGTCATATCCATGAGGTTTTTTCAGCTCAACAATAACAAATCAGATCGACTTAGGCAAGGCAACCCCCTCAAATTGGCCCCGAGCACACACATTTGTGTGAGGTTGCAGCAATTTGCCTCCAAATGACAATATAAGCAAAACGAGCATCGAATAAGCTTCAAATAAATAATGCAGCAATTTGGCTCCAAATGCAAACATTTGCAAAAATAAGCATCGACTCAGCATCAAATCAGCACCAAATAAGGATTTTGCTGCTGTATGCAGCAATTTGGCTCCAGATGCAAACATTTGCAAAAATAAGCATCGAATAAGAACCAAATAGGCACCAGATCAGGAATTTGTTGCATACATGCATAAAATAAGCATCGAATAAGCATCAAATAAGCACCAAATAAGGATCTTGTCGCATATATGCATCAATTCAAATTTGGCGTTGAATACAAACATTTACAAAAATAAGCATCGATTAAGCATCAAATAAGCACCAAATAAAGATTTTGCTGCATATATGCAGCAATTTGGTGTTGAATACAAACATTGGCAAAATGAGCATCGAATAAGCATTTTGCTGCGTATATGCATTGGTTTGGCCCAAGCTACAGCTTCAACAGCGCTCAAGATAAGCACGAAGATGCTTTCGCTGTGTGTACGCAGCGCAAATAGACAGAGTCAGCGCTGCCAAAAGAATCCAAAAGACACAGAACAAACCCGAGCAGGGCTGACCCTAGTCACTTTTGACCTGGTTGGACCAACAATCCAAGCGACCAACCCCTTATTTAGGCTATCCTTTCATCCTTGTAATTTTTGCCACCAACACCAGCCCCCAACAATATCCTTATTCGTGGCTTTTTTGCTTGGCAGGCAGCGCGCCATGGATTCTTGCCCGAAACTCATTTCCCTTAGCCATTTTGGGGGGGGGAGTGCCTGGGAAGGGGAGTATAGTGTTCTATGGTTTACAAGAGGCTGCGCGACAAATGTGTAAATAGATCATGCCTTGCTCACACACGCGCTGACGTATATGATGTATACGCACAAACAAGTCGGCTATTTGTCCACCGCCCAGCTGATTTCAATCTCCGGCCGCTGCAAGAAAACACCAACGCCGCAAGGGTGAAGGTCTAAATATGTGTAAATGGATTATGTCTTGCTTATACACACGCTGACATATATGTAATATTGGTCATGTGTACTCACACACCAGTCCAATCAGTAGAGCCTGGAGGGGGGGGGGGGAGTGTTCACCGCAAAACGATGCCCTGAGGATGGTCTATACATGTGTAAGTTGATCATGCTTTGCTTACACACATGCTGACATAAATGTAGTAGTGGTTATTTGTACTCACAGAATAGTCCAATCAGTAGAAGCTGGAGGAGGGGGCTGAATATGGTCTATATATGTGTAAATAAATCTAGCCTTGCTTACACACATGCTGACATATATGTAGTACTGGTCTGGCATACACACAGACAAGTCCCATTTGTACCAGCTGATTTCAAGATTCGGCAACTGCAACAAACACCGATGACGCGAGGATGAAGCTCTAAATGTAAATGGGTCATGCCTTGCTCACACACGTGCTGACAGATATGTAGTCTTGGTCATGTGTACTCACAGACAAGTCCAATCGGTAGAATCTGGAGGGGGGGTTCTAAGCGTTCCCCGCCCAGCTCGTTTCAACGAAAAACAATGCCCCGAGAATGAAGATCATGCCTTGCTCACACACGCGCTGACGTATATGATGTATACGCACAAACAAGTCGGCTATTTGTCCACCGCCCAGCTGATTTCAATCTCCGGCCGCTGCAAGAAAACACCAACGCCGCAAGGGTGAAGGTCTAAATATGTGTAAATGGATTATGTCTTGCTTGTACACACGCTGACATATATGTAATATTGGTCATGTGTGCTCACAGACCAGTCCAATCAGTAGAGCCTGGAGGGGGGGAGGGGAGTGTTCACCGCAAAACGATGCCCTGAGGATGGTCTATACATGTGTAAGTTGATCATGCTTTGCTTACACACATGCTGACATAAATGTAGTAGTGGTTATTTGTACTCACAGAATAGTCCAATCAGTAGAAGCTGGAGGAGGGGGCTGAATATG